TTTTGGCCCGCATTGTACTTTTCCGGCCCGCATTATGACTTTAACTCGAGTTTGACTCGAGTTTCTGACTCGAATTTTCAACTCGAGTACTCTCTGAGTCAAAAATTTCTTGATTCGACTTTGACTCGAGTTAACTTTTCTGACTCGAGTCCAAACTCTATATTCGAATATACTATTTTCAAACGGAAAACCTTATACGAAACAAAAGTTAAATTATGGAGATATATAACTACAATATTTAATATTAATGTTCTGTAATTTTTTAATGTATAAACACAAAATAAAAGTAAAATTTATTAATTATATTGTTTTACATGTGTATCATTAAAAATACTAATGAATAATAAAATATTAAATATTAAATTAATTAAAATATTAACTAGTTAAAATAGAGTATTAACAGGTCCTTTCGGCAATTGGATATGATGCAGTTTGTTTCGTATTTGATTCGGAGTCAGGGTATCGGCAATCGGATCTTTCGGCAATTGGATATGATGCAATTGGGTATGATTCAGCAATTGGATATCCAGGATGTGGTAAAGCATTTACCGTGGAGAGGACGAGTAATAGAAGAATTCCAGAAAATTTCATGATGATTGTAATAAAAAATTTTTTTCTTTTTAAATATATATTTTTTGTATTGATGATTTGTTACCTCAGAGCAAGCAAAATCACAGCCTTTTTATAAGAAAAGAGATCTCTTAATTATTTCCTTTTTACTTTATTCATAATTTTTTTCCTTATTGCTGTTTTTTTTTTAAAAAAAAAAGATATGCCTTCGTGCATGTGAAGGACCCATGTGAAAAGGTGGATTGGAAATCTACTTCATTTTAAATCATTATATTGCTTATAAGTTTTCGGGATAAACAATAAAAAGAAAAAGAAAAAAAAAATGGTCCAGTTTAAAATCATATGTTGGCTCCTGAATTTAATGTCTTAAAATCAATGTCTTAATTTGAGCATAGTAAGAATTTATAAATTACTTTACAGACGATCATTCCACCGACAAATCGGAAAATGTTTCATCAACAGGATCATTTGTCACTTCGGTGAAATAAACGTTAGTGATGAGTTAAGGCAACGCAACAAGGAGAAGAAACTTCTGCGTGAATCAGCTACCTATCCATGACACTTCCAGGTTATCACATGATGCAGAAAAGATTACTAGGTGAATCGAAATTATCAAATAATACAGTAACCGTCCCACCATCTACTCCACTGATATCGCCAGAAGAATCAATTTCTGAAGTTTTTGAATCTTTGGACACTATTACTGTAAAAAATCCTTGGGACCAAAAAAATCTCGATCACATAAGAAGAAAGAAGCGGAAAATATCGTGCAGGATGTACTATTTGATTTTACCATGGATGAGTAAATCACATGACGGAAATTTCGGTGAAGAAAATAATTGTCAAGAAAAGATAGCAGAGCTATCAAATTCAGAAGTATTGCAAAATATAAACCGCTTATATGAAAATGCGTGTATTGCGGGAAATGAAGCAATAAAGGCTAATCAAGTGGAAATTTTGTGCTGGAGTATTTTATTATAGGACTGGATAAAAGTGTAGATGAAATTATGATCAAAGAAAAGTTAGATATGAAAAAGACCAAAGGACGGATTTACGATTTTATTTTTGCACACAATCTTGGTATTAAACGAGAAACTTTATATCAACATATCAGTAGAACCAGGAAGATTTACGAATATTTCGAAAAATCTCAGTCATTTGGACCGATCACCTGAAATGCGCAGTACGATATCGGGAAAAAATCTTGCCGAGCCTGTTTCTTTTTTCCGAACTCACCGCAGAATATGCCATGCGCAGTAATACGTCATTGAAATTAAGTGACGCTGTCATATAATTAGCCCAGTAGATCCTGCTTCTAGTTAGATCATATAATGATAGGCAAAGTCTATTATTCATTTAAAACCATGTCTTATTGTACGTACAATCCATATGTCATACTTGTTACCTTCCCTTCAGTAGTCACTTTTTAGTCTGTCCAGCCAATTTATAATAAAACTTTTCATTTTTTAAATGTGTGTATTTTATAAGTGATAGTGTATTTTGCATTTCGGGAGATAAATTTAACTGGATGCTGATCCCGTTTCGACGAGCTATTTATTTGCCGATCTACTTTACGCGACTCATTACGTGATATTTTATATAGCGATAAAAACTTCCGTCAAAAGTCCCCGGCTCATGCAAAAATATTGGGTTGGTTTGAGGGTTCCTCTAAACAGACTAAACAGACTAAACGAGCTCCCGTTGCAGTTTTTAAAAAGGCTAGGATACATACTTTTGTTGTTGGAGATTCAACCATCAACAATTACAATAATAATAATGATACGAAGTATACTCGTGAAACCTCTCCACCGCCAGTAAAGCAAGAATTCTCTTTTACTAGTAGTGAACAAAGAGGTATCATTGAACCACTTATTAATATTGTTGAGAAAGCGTTTTATAAATTTCTTGTTGATAATGAAAGATACATTCTCCTCGATGTTGTGAAATCCTTCTGTGCTAAACAACGACCTCCTGTAAGTACGGACTTTGGTGACGCAGATTTATTGTTTATGATCAATTTTATCATAGAGAATGTAAAACTTTTTTTGAAAAATTCATTATTCCACGGTCGATTTAAAGCAAACCCCGTTGAATTATTGAGCAATTTTAAGAAAAATGTGCGTAACAAAGTGGCGCACGGAATTATTGTTGACGAAAAAGGTCGCTGGAGTGATCATGATCTTCAGCACGTCTCTATTTTAGCTTGTAATGTTGTACTTTGCCTTGGTAAGTTTTTCTTAAGAGAATAACTTGACTCCGTGTAAGAACATACATAAACTGAACTTTTTTATATTTGACGTTAGGTGGAGACCACAAAGAGGTATCACTCTAACAAAGAGAATATTGATAACGAAATAGTTCAACGATAGATCAACAAGTCCGATAAAGATCACTCTCATTCACCGCAAAAAAGGAAACTTGACGATACGAGTTTTGGAAAGATTACAGAATTCATTCTTGATATTCTTGAGGAAACTGAAGAGATTGAAGAGGGAGATAAGCGGAAAATATTGAGATTAGCGTTGGATGAAGATGAATATTTAATAAAGCTCTGGAGGGCAATTAAATTTTGAAGAAAAACAAGTTCAAATTCGTAAATTTATTCAATCAGTGAATTTGATGTTTAATATTGTAAGTATACTTTTTCTTGTATGATAAATTCATATACTATAATAAGTTAACTAAGTTAACTGCTTTATCTATAGAGATTGAAATCGAAAAATGAAAACTCAGGTATTATAAATATATAAATAGTAGATTAGGTAGTACAAGGAATAAGTTCTCGCGTAAGTCACGTCCAAGTCAGCGTGGGTGCGGTGTCTTAGTCGTTGAGCAAGTCATTTGCTTTACAGGTAGGTTAATCGACATTGGATGAGAGATTATGTTATGATTATGTTACGGTCTCTTAGCTTCTGTCGGACTCGTTAGTTTAATTAACTGAGGATAAACGAAGCTCCTTATTTCGTATGCCACCTGTGAACTTTATTGTTTTATGTAACATTTCTGACTATTTATACCTTCACTTTTCAGAACGTGAAACGAAGGTACTACAGTATACATCTATCACACTTAACTAATTTTCACTTGTCCTAAACAACAGATAAGAAGATCTTCTATTTTGAAAATTACGCGTTATCATCGCTTTCAATATCATTGTATAGAACTTCTGTTACTTTACTTGTAAATAAATAAATATTATAGCGTAACATATTTTTAGTATTGGAAATAAACTGCTTTAGTACCATATGAATTCTATTATATTGCATGGGATATCAATGGTTATATAAAATTCTTTTTAATACTAATAAAAACTTGAAGTGTACGATAATATTATATTTTCGAACCCAAATAAAACAATGTAAATAGAACTGGCAAAGCTTACTTCGTAAGTGATGTTACTGCGCTAACGGTCACGTGACTTCGTCTACTCTCACTACCACATGATCATAGTAAAATATTCGTCACACTACATCACACCCTTCCTTTCTTTCATTTTTTATAAGTATTATGGGAACTTAGTTTTTTTACATTACACAAAATCATATTCATAAATCCCTTATTTATCATAAGAGAGCCACACTTAATTTCATGATGACACACTTAATGCTGTAATGCGGGCCAAGATGTCACGTGGTAGTGAATTTTTTATGGCGATACTGGGGTAGTTAACCCGTGGATCAGAGAAATCAAAATGCGAAAAAAATAGTTCACTTTCCTTTGGCTATTTTTGTCTCAATGTATTAACCAGAGTCAGTTTGCATGTGCTTATCAAATAAAGTTTTGTCCGCATTGGGCTTTTCTTCTTTTTTAAACTATATATCCTTATAAATGCTATATGACTGCTCTCCGAATAAATTAAACTACTACTTACCGATCATCTGTGATTTATAGAAACTCCGCTAACGCCTAGAACTGTCGTAAACTAGTAGGGATTTAAAGAGATCATATGTGATACAAATTTTATAGTTTAGCTATCTATGGTGATCAGATCTGATTTAACCGAATCATAACATTAGAGAATCTGTTTTTACCCGAACAATCGAATCTAATATATATTATAGTATACTTGTTACAAATTGCTATAAATTGCTATAAATTATTATAAATTAACAAATCAGTGAAATTGTTATAAAACACTATAATTCACTATAATTCACTATTTTATTAATTGAACACTTGTAAAATATGAATTTAGATAATAAAGCCTATTTTATGCTTTGTAACTTTACATATAAAAGGATAATAAGTGCAATACATACTTTAGAAAAGAAACATAATCATAAATACCAGAAATATGATATTCTCGTATTTGTGATTCATTCAAAATATTACTTAAAGAGAACTAAGAAATCTTTTCTAAGAATAGATATATTTGTATATATAGAAAGTTTTATGATACTAGTAGTAGTACTAAGAGGATTTATAAATATCTATTAAACTATATATATTATAGTGTATGTAACTCCCTAGTATTCATCCCTGAAAGACTTATAGATGATCATTTATATTGAGATGACTACTTGAAGAGATATATTATTAGAAATACTAGTTTAAACGAATATGCAAGAAAAAAAAATTCTCAAAGCAATTGATAGAAGAAAATTTCAGATCTGGCAATATAAATAATATATATTACATAAAGAAGCTAAAATAAAACATCTTTAATTGGAACTTTTATCCCAATCTCTTTCTCACTTAAAAAAAGATAAATTGATATTGATATTTTATGATTATAATAGTTATTCAATCTGCTATAAAATTTATCTTTCAGTTAAAATAACTATAGCAAAAAATACTATGCCAAGTGTTTCAAATTTTAAGCTAGCTTATATTTCTCTATCAAGCAAAAAATAATTTCATTAACTTCTTATCAATCATCAAATTGCAAAAATAATATAAGCGAAATATTTATCTTATCTCTGTTTGCAAAACAAAATAACTTATTACCATTTATAAACTATCTTAATCAGTTAAAAGGTATTGCATTAAGATTGAAAAATAGGACAGAAATTATAATAATCTAACTAGTGAAGTAATCTAAATAATTCATGATTATAGGTGAATATCTATTGGCTGAAAAAATCATTCAGATACCTATTATATATTTGTAGAAAATCAAATAAATAATTTACAGATAATTTATCAAATATTCATAAATAATCTACAAGTCATATAAATAGTATATAATTTGTAAATATTCGTAAATTCATATTATTTATAAATAAAAAATTCTAAAAATTTTTATGAATAATATTATTTTATTTATTATTTGACTTTATAACATATAGATCTAAATATAATATTTATTGTAACTATCATAATAAAAGCAAAAACTATTAAAAATATTAATTTGTAGGATTAGAATGAATATTTTTTACAAGATATGCATTTTTTTTAAAAACATAAAGTCTATTGAATAATTTTAGATTCAGTCATATTCTTTTAGCAGTTAATAAATTTTCTGCACTGCTAAATAACCTTGATATTATTGGAATAGGAAGATAAATCTAGGCTAACTTTGAAAGAATTAAAAATCATTTCTTATTATCATACCACTAAATAAAAGGATCAGAGTTAAGGCTTATTTCAGGTAAAAATAAGTATATAATTATCTTATTATCATATTATAATAAACATCATTCAAAAATTGAAAATATAATTCTGATGTTGTTATTATAATGGTAGTATTATTAATTAATTTTAAATTCATTATATTTATTTTCTAATAGTTCTTTTATTTTATTACAAATTTTTTCATCAATAAATTCAAGAGATTTAATCTAAAGATCAATTAATGCTAAAATAAAAGTCTCAATTTTTTCATTATTCTATATAACTCCATTGTATTATATAAATAAACTATTACTTTTTTTAATATTTCAGTAGTTACTAGTAAATTATTTAAATTTAATTTTTTTTTTGATGCTTGAGGTATATTATCTTTATATTCTATTTCTTCTCTATATCCTTTATATTCTTCATGTTCTTCTTTTTCTCCTTTATCTCTTTTAAAAATATCAGCAATTTCTTTTATATTATTCATATTATTACTATTATTTTCATTTGTTGTTTTTATAAGATTTTTTATTTCTTTCAATATAAGACTTATAATACTATAAGTTACATATTTACTTACTACCAAGTGACTATAGTATCAGCAAATCCTTTTAAAATTCAATATAATCACTTAATAATTTCATTCATCTTTAGTTAACATAATTTTAATCAGACATTGATCATCTTATTTTAAATCATAATCATTAGTAAAAGATAGTGTTATTACTAAAATATCAATATAAGGATGGCAATAGCAAAAGCCAGAGCTTAGGCAAAATTTTGTTTTTGAAATTTTATTATAATTACATATTAATTGATTTAATGTTTCAGAAAAGTAAATAAAATTTTATATATAACATATTAAAAAAATGTAGTATTTTATAATTTATAATTTTTGTATTTTACTTTTATTATATTTAATAAATAATTTAAACCTGCTAAAAAAAACTAATACTTTTAATGAATTCTTTGCAAAATTTTATCCTAATTTGCAAAAAACTGATTTTAAAATCTTTAAAAATAATGAAATAAATTGCGATTTATTAAATTAACCAATCATTTTAAATTGTGATTTTCTTGATATCACATGATTTGCTGAATCCTAGCTTTTACTGTGAGTGTCCTGATATGAGCATCCTTATATAGTTTAATTTCTAACAACCTTTTTTATGCTAAATAACTAGAGTTCTATCACATTATAACATCAGTAATACAATAATGTAAGTATGTACTTATTTTATCAGGTTTCTAAAAAAATTTTTATAAATATATAATAAAATAAATAAATATATATTTTTAATATTTTTAGTTATTACTTATTACATTATTTTCTATTTAAATAGAAGATATTTAAATATTTTCCAATCTTTCTGACTGTTTAGATTATATAAAAAAATTAATAAGACTTTTTACTTTTAACACAAGCAGTTTTATATATACAAGTCCTTTTTTAACAATTAATTATAAGATATGAGCAGTACAAGGCTACCAGGTTATATTTTTAGAAATTATATTTATGTTTTTTATTATCTTTTTCATGTTTAAACTATTATCTATTGTAATTGCATTAACTTTTTCTCTTAATATCCATAGATCTAATATCTCAAGTAAAATATCACTAATATATATTGCATTATGTGAATAAAGAATATTGAAATAGTAAGAACAAGTTTATGTAATTTAAAATCTTTATTTAGAAAGTAATATATAACTCTAATATATTTTTGACGATTTCGAGAAGTTTAAAGGTTAGTAGTTAAATTAACTGAAATTACATACTTTTCAATATATTTAATAATTAAAGAATATGTATGATTATATGAGGTAAGTGCTGGAAAAAGGGACCAAATCAAAAATTTTTTTAAAAAATTGTTCTTAAGTAAAATTAAATCTAATCATCTCATCTGATCCAGAATTTTTATTATTTAAAAAAATAATTTTTTAATAATTTGATCCTTTTTCTGCACTTATCCTATATGTTCTATAAATAATCTGTTTTATCAATTTGACATTAGGCATTACAAATGCAGGATTTAGATTATATAGAAATTTTTGAAACATTTCACTTTAGACAAATCTAAGTAGAATTAAATCAGCAATAAACCAATCAACAAGTGATTACCTTAACTCTTTTTACTTAGCTTCTTTATGTATTTTTACTGTGTTAGTTATAGTATTTGAACCTTTTTTAAAATTAAAATGTTAATTATGATGACTTTTTAATAATAAAAGAAATATAAATATACTAAACATACAAGTTTTTCTTCTATTTTTATATTTTCAGTAATTTGATAAGATCTCGCAAGATGTAAAATAAGATTATTTATTAAATTTCCACTTAGATAAAGCTGTCTAAACAACTTTATTTATTATTTTAACTATATATTCAGCATTGGTTTTTCCATTGTTAAGTAATACAGGATTATACTATTTTTATACTTAACTTATAAGTTTGTCAGTTTTATCAAGTATTTTTAAATTTTTTAACATTATTTTCTGATTCAAGATTTTTTGAACATTTGTTTGAGATTTTATCAGAAGGTTTAGTTAGATTAATAACTTCTCTTTCATTATTTTGATCATTTAAAAGTATAAGAAGAATAGTTTTTCAACTATTATTATATTTTAAATTTTACTACAAAAGAAATAGAATAATGCATTAAAGGATTAAATGTGGCTTTAACTTCAATAGTAAATCACATGATTATATAATGCTAGATATTTTCAATTTTAATTAATAAAAAATTAAAATCATATCATATAAATTTATTTTATAATATAAATATTATTTATTAATATAATCTATTGATATAGCAGTTATATAATATAATATTTTAATCTTTTAATATAGCAATAAACTAATAAACTTAATTACATTAATTTAAAAAAGATTCTGATAATTATATATATATATTATAATATTTAATATCAAAATTCAATACCGTAATAATATATTATAATGTAATAATACATTGTAATATCATATTACAATGTTATAAATAGATTCTTTTACAAATAATACGATTTTATTATTTATGTGATTCTAAATAATTTTATGCAATATAAAGAGTGAGTGTCTGACAGGTAGAAAGGCTAGTAAAATAAGATTCTTTTTAGAAAATATATTTTGCCATTATATTTTTTGTATCAAATAATTAATTTTACATTATTTGAACTTAAGAATTTTTTTAAAAAATTTATTATTCTAACTAATATATAAGTATTCACAGATATTCATCAAATAATCCACAGATATTTGCATAAATTTGTAATACATAAAAATGATCTGTCTATCTGAATATTTGTATTATCTGTGCAGATTATAATTCATAGATTGCTTCTCTATTTATAATAATATTCACTTATTTGTAAAAGATGAATATAAAGATATTACTTACCTAAGATTAATCTATATTAGTAATGAATAAAATATTTAAAATAAAATCACCTCTATAATTTCATGACTTGTTAATTTGTTCTTTACTGTTATTATATTTAATAAGTTTAATTTTTTATTAATTATTATTAGATTTTTCTACTTATAAGATAAAAAAGTAACTAAAATAATTTATATACTTAATATACCTTTATAAAAAGAATATAAGTATATTAAAAGAATAAATAAAAAAAGGAACAAGTAAATTATGAAAAATATAATAAATGAACTTAAACAGAAAAACAAATAACTATTAGAAGAAATTAATAATATTAATAATTAAAAATCTAAAACTAAAAATTTGAAGTATTAGTAGAACTAATAAAGTTGATTATATTTCAAATCAATGATAATACAAATAACTAAGTAAGAAATGATTAGAAAAAGTAAAGATAAGAACAGAAAATGAAGTTTATTTTGATAATATTATTACTGAAAAAATATCAGAAAACTTTTTTAATTACATAAAAAAATTAATTTTAACTTGTTTAGAATATATTTCCAGTTAGAGTAAAAGAGGTTTACTAACTTACTGATCAAAGAAAAGAGTATGAAAAGAAAATAGCAGAATTGGATAAATATAAAGAACAAGTTAAAGATTTAAAAAAAAGTAACAGAATTTTTTTAAAATAAAAATGTGAAAGATAGCTTTTGAGATAAAGATGAATTAAAAGAACTAATTAATAAGTCTAAAAATTCTAGATTAAATAAAGTTATTTTAAAATCATTAAAAAGTTAAAAAAGAATGCTAAAGTTTACTATAAGGCTCTAAAAGTTTCTAAAGTATAAAATAAAGGTCAAAAGATAGAATTAATTAAAGAATATAATGATATGATAAATTTATTAAATGAAGCAGATGAGATAATCGAAAGTAGAGATTTATAAATTGAAAATTTACAAAAATAACTAAAAGAAAACTCTAAGTTATTAGATAAATCTGATAAAGAAAAGAAAAGTTATAAAGACAACTATATTTATCTAATAAACCTTTATCTAATTTATCTAAAAAACTAAGCAAATTTAGACACTTAAAAAATAAAATAAAAAGTATATTTTTCTAATTAGTTAAAAAAGTTAAATCTCACATAAAAGAAGTATTACTTAAATAGAAATAAAGACAGCAAAATAGTTGTGAAGGACTTAGATTATTTTAGATCTGAAAGAATGAAATAATAGAAGAACTTGTTATTTTTGTTATAATATTAGTAATTTATCAGATAAGAGTTTGTAATAAAGCAACTGAAAGAATAATTTAAAATAGCAAAGCCTATAAAAATTGTAAAAATAAACTCAAAGATGTGATAAATATTGTAAATTAAAACTAGAATGAATTGATATTCTTAGTGAAAATATATTTATGCTTGCATTAAACATAATAAAAAAATTATAAGAAAAAGAACCTATAGTTTATTTCATGAAAAAAGATCTAATGTTTTTTTATAAATGGCAAATAAATAAAGTATAAAAAAAAAGAAAGAAAGTTAGAAGAAGAAGTAGAAACTTATCTTGAAATTCTAAAAATTACTGAAAATTAGTATAAAAGACAGAAACAAATGCTTTTGAATAAAATAAAAGAATTAAAAGTAGAAGTGGAAAGATTAAAAAAATTAATTTTACAGAAACTGGTTGATAAACTAGTAACTTATAAAAAAGTAATTGAGGAATTAAAAGTAACATACAATTTTTGATGAAAAGAATAATGAAGACAGTTTCTGATGGTACAGTTAACTCTTATTATAACGAACTCTATGTTCTAGACCTCAACTTTGCTATAAGGCTATAGTGAAGATTTTAAGAGATTTGATTAGCCAATTCATTATAATAAGAGTATTTTTATTATATTTATTCAAAAAATTTGTTATATTAAGAGTTCGCTATATCAAAAATTAACTGTATTGATTTTATATGCTATTTTATCAAATTGATACTAAAGTGCTAATTTTAGGCTAATTTATAATTACTTAAATTCTAAATTAATGCTAAATTGATGTTAAATTGAAGTTAATTTTAGGTTAATTATAGTTGAATTTAAATTCTGAATTAATGCTAAATGGCTATATCTAATCAGCATCAATCAATATATATTTATGTTAATCAGAAAATATAACAAATCTATAAATAATATCAAAATCAGTTTAAAATTAACAATCTGGTTTTTAGCTAATTTTTACTATTTTGACTAATATTAATCACTTATAATTAATAAGGAAATAGAAAGTCAATTATCATTAGTAAATTTCTTTTTAAAACTTATAAGTGTTTATATTTAAATTAAATATTAAAACATCTAATTGTATTAAATGAAATATATATTTATTAATATCTGATAAAAATCAAAAAGATTATTAGACCATTTAATATTTACTTAAACAAATAGTATATATAAAGTAATATCATTCTTTAAGACTTTATTTTCTAATTGTATAGCAGTTTTTACTTTTGATAGTAGTTTAAATTATTTAACATATTATTCTGATATATTATTAGCTAATTAAATGAATCTCAAACTTAGAAAATATAAAATAAATGAGAAACACAATATAAAGACTAAATAATCAATATCAGAAAAAGATTTCCTGATAATTATCATATATTAAAATTTCAAAAAAAACTAAAGAGTATAAAATAAATTCTTTTGTAAAATAAGATTTTAGAATAAAAAATATATAGCAGATTGTAGTTTATACAAAATAAAATTACATAAAATAATCTAATATAAACTAAATATTATATAAAGTATATTATATTATTATAATCTAATTTCTTACTAAAATATATAATAAAAGAAGCTGATTATATATGCATTTTTATCTTAAATTTTATTGTGTTAAATTAAATAATATTGAAAGCAACAAAATATTCTATTCATGCAAATTTTGTAATTATTTTTAATTAGAATTATAACAAATAATTTCTTTAAATTTAGGATCAGTAAATTTTATTAAAATTCAAAAATTTTCTTAGCATGCTTAGCATTGTATGAATATATATAAGAAAGGAATATAAGATAAATTAGCTAAATATTTAATAAAAAAATATAAATGAATTTTTAATATATAATTAAAGAATTAAATAAAATTATTTTATAAATTTTAAGTATTTGATTTTATTTTTAAAAATTTAATATATAAATATTTAAAATTATTATTACATGTCTTAAATTTAATTGATTAAAAATCACGTGATTAATTATAAAATATTTTAAAATTTAAACTATTTTTGAATATAAATGAAATATACTATAGAAATTTTAATAAATGTTTTATATTATATAATCTAATTATTTGAAAAATATGTGAGTATTATATTTTGATAATAGAACATTTAAATTTATATAAAAATTTTTAATTGACATAATCACATATACTCTACAATAAATTACTAAGAAAAATAGCTGATGAATATTTTGATAACTTGGGATGTTACATATTTGATATTAATTAATATAATTAAAATCAATCAGTAAAAACAATATCTAGAAAGTTTATCAATATTCAGGTGAAGATAGTTTTTTATACTTAAATTGAGAATGTGAAATTAAATGTCAGCAATTTGATTTTTTCAGTTTCTCAAGAATTTTGATAGTATTATCCAGATCCCTCTAAAACAAAATAATTTGTAATTAGATGTTCTTATTATTAGAGTAAAGTTAAAAATATTTTTTTACATACTTCTAGATTCCACAGGATAGGTATTGTATTCAGAAGTTTATAGTGATTCTTTCAATTAATTGGAAGTTAAAATGTATTAAGTAAAAACATTCAATAAACATATTTAACAAGTAGGTCTATCCCTCATATTTGAACATCCCATCCTATTGGAAAGTAAATATACTTGAATATGTATTAAAAGCAAAATTTAAAATACACACTTCACATACTATAAACATGTAAAAACTATTTGCGTAATTATTTCATTATCTTAAAATTGTCACACACAAAATTTGCAGCTGCATTATTAAGAAGATCATGCTAACCTCAGAATCTATGAATATGATCCTTTAAATATCAGAGCAAATCACAAGTTAAATGTTCACCAGATAATTCAACAATTTTAAATTTAATATCAGATGACTAAAAAATTCCATTGATTTTGAAATTTAATAGCTTATCATCTTCTAATTTAAGATCACGTCAGATTAAGTACTAGTTTGCACTTGCCTGAAGATAAGCCTCTTCTCTATTTTTGTAAAACATTGTTATTACAAGAATAATACCTACGGTATATAAATGACATCATGATCACTTGTATTAGTAAGATACTATAGGATAGGATAAATCAGGAGAGAACTCAGAACTGATTCCTATGAATGGGATTATGAAAAGTACTGGTAGGATTAAACACTGTTTTCGCACTTTGAAATTAAAATAATAATTAATAACTATAAGAACAATAATTAGTGCTTGAGTTAAATATACTTACAATCATAAAAGTACATCAGTGACAAATACTAATTGCTTGTTTTCCTTGAAGTTAAATTTTTATTATAAAGAACCTCTGTATATTCCGTTAGTGATTCCTATAGTTGATTAAATGAATAAAGATCAAAATATATCAGAAAAATATCTTTTAGATAATTATCATTTCAAGCAGAGTATTAAAGAGATCAGTCACATTATTGGCTAGAAAACATTCAGGATATTCAATGCTTGCTTGTAAGTATCTCCAATCATTTTTCTAAATTCATTCAAGTTATCGAACATTTGCTCTAACGCATATAATTCCCAAATTAGATAGGCTACAATATAGATGGTTAAGTATGCAAAGGCTTAGATAGAATGCAAGGGAAAAATAAAAGATTTAGAACTTACTGAGATTTATGAAGAATGGTAGAATCACAGATTGCTTTAGTAACAGTTATTTCAGAAGGTAACTTCCAAATATCCATTGGGCTTTTTTCATCAGAATACTTTAAAACATTTGTTAGATCTTCTGAAATAGATCTAGATACATTTGAATCAATTTTAATTCCAACTTCGATCTGTTCTTCAATATCTTCAATTACATTTTCATCTTCATTAAAATCTGACTCGTCATTACTGTATTCTAAATCTGCTTCTAACTTGTCATTGCTGAATTCTTTTTTTTATTATCTTAACTATTAACAATATGCTATATCATAAACAATAGAATAAAGATAAGTCAAAATAAGTAGTATTAATAATATATTAAATAACATAGATTTAGTTCAATTGAGTTTAGATTCAAAAACCCATACATTTTGTTGACTACATTTTTCACTTTGCCATTCTTCTTTATCATCATATAATCACTTTATCCCTTTTATTATTTTTCAAAAATGCTTTGAAATATTTTGAGAAGTGAATAAAGTTTTTTCTAGTTCTTGAACTCTATTAGAGATTTGTATCTTAAGATTCTGATCATAAAAATCTTCATATAAATCTTTACAGTTTTGCAGGATAATAAAACCTTTGAAAGTTTTATCATTATCCAGTAGATCAGTACAAAAGTACGCATACTATTCAGAATTTTTTTAGTATTGCTTTTTATAATAACATATAGTGATTTCTTTCAGTTATTATAGAGATTCATCCAAGATAGGATTGATTTATCTTCTTTCAAGTAATAGTATAGATAATGTTTGAATCACCAGTTCTGAGCTTTGATATTGTTAAAGTAGAAATGTATACCTTCAAAATTAGGTGACACAAAGTGTAAATGCTTTGTTGATCTTAATATTACAGTCATTAAGTTATATGCTAAAATGAGAATAAGAAAAAAGTTCTATAAGATAATTATAGGCAGATTATCTGATGATTATTTCTAAAAATCAGGTGCATGTCATAATTTTTAACTAATAATTATATTGCTAATTAGTAAAAAGTAGTTAAAAATTTCCTTATGTAACATTTTGATAAAATTCAATGTGATGACAAAGGATGCAACTATGCTGAAGTTCTCATGTGATCAAGCATTAGTAGTGAGATGCATTAACTTTTTCACATTGTTTTAAAGTAATTTAAGATTCTTTTTTAATTGTAGACTTTATAAAATTAATCTATCTAAAAATATGAAGGATCTATATAATTCTTCTGATATTCTAATACTGATAATAACCTTAATTCTACAAATTAAATAAAGTTTAAAAATACTTAGTTTTATACTTATTTTTAATATTCTATCTTTTATTAATTTTTTTATTTTATTATGTATTATTATTATCTTTAATTTATTTAGTTTACTTATATTTTATCTATTAAATTAGTTAGTTTTATCTCATTAAATGATAATATATTTATATTTTTGAAATTAAAATATATAAGTTTAAAATTTTAACTTTTTTTTTATAATAATTTATTATATATTTATCTTTAAAATATCACAATTTTTTTTGAATTTTTACTTAGAATTGACTTCTTTTATATTTACATAAACTTAAAAATATTATAAAAATATTAATTTTTAAATAAATTATTTTAAAAATATTTAAAAATATTTTATTAAATAAAAGTGCAAACAAATTTGTCTGCAATATACTTGAAGGGATAATTACTTTTTTTTATAAATACATTTTTATTAATTAAAGTTAATAATAAAATTTTTTTATAATTATAACATATAGCTAAGATTTAAATTAATTTTAAATTTGATAAAATATTTAAACCTTATTTTTATAAGTTTTGATATAGTTTTACCTTTTTTAAGTTTTACAATAAGTTTTATTATAATTTTACTAAATTTTATCTTTTATGATTTAGATAATCTACAAAATATTTAATATAATTTTTATAATTATTTTAAAATTTTAATTTTATAATTATAAAAATTAATTGTATTTTATTTATATATTTTTATAAATAAAAAAAAAATAAAATAAAAAATTAGAATTTTGTTAAATTAATTAAAGTTACTAAAAATAAATATTTAAGTAATTCTTTAAAATTAATGATTTTATTCTAAATATTTTTATATTTTTATAAAATTAACTTTTTAAAGATAACTTATATTTAAATTTTATTTTTTCTTAAAATTAAAATTTTAGTAAAGTATTTTCTGATTTTATAATTTTTTATTTTATAGTTTAATTAGTTTTTTTGATAATAATATATATTTTAATAATATATATTTATATATAAATTGTATAATTTATAATCAGTAATAATTAGTTTGTTATATTATTTATAAAAATATATAAAGTTTTTCAATAAATTTTATATTAATTTTATCAATTAGAAACAAATCTAATAATAAATAAATTATTTTCTTTTAACTTTTTTTATTATAATATTTTATATTTATCATTTAAATTATATAATATAGGTTAATTGTTAGAAAAATCAAGTTCTGAGAATTTGTTAACAAAATTAAGATTTTTGTTACATTTTAATTTTTGATATTATTAGATTAAATTCTTAATTTTAGTTAAAAATTTCTTAAAACCTGATTTTCTAGAAATTCTCCTATATAATATCTTATTTTAGATAGTTATATTACTTCAAAAATTGAATCTTTTATTATTGTAAATATAATATTAATAATATAGTTAAATATTATCTAAAATTAATAATAATAGTATTAGATTAAAAGATTTTTTAATACAAATAATAAGGATAAAAAAACTAATATTTAAAT